AAATCACACGAAACCACTAACAGTAACAGCAGCAACATCAGACAGACTGTGTAGTTCAGAGAGAACAACAAGAAGATAAAATCCTTACAACATGGCCAGAGAGACAAGAAAAAAAAGGAACAGAGCCATTCCCCAAATGTTTGTGCAAATGGGGTTGTTTTGACCAGGTGTCTGAAAACTGACTATACCAGGCAAACTTGGGAAACGTTCTTCCACAAATGGGACATGGCCATTTTCCTTGTCGCTAACCTACCTCTGAAGGTGTGGACATGCAGAGAAAAGCCACAAAGCATGGCAGGAGGGAGGTGGGTATGTGGGGAGAAAATGATCCTTCAGATACCCTGATCAAAAATCATTAAGGGCTTTATAGCTCACAGCACTTTGAATTGAGTCCAAGCACACACTGGAAGACAGTGGAAAATTTTAAACCCTTGCAGAATATGTTCAGTTTGGCCGCTTGCAGTTAACAGCTGCTGCATTCCACATCAACTGAAGTTTCTGAGCAACACATTGCAGTAATCCAACCTGGTTACCAGAGCATGTATAACTGTGGCAAGGCTATCTTTGCAAAGGGCATAAAACTGATACAGTTCTTACCCAAAGAGCTTACAATCTATATCAGATAGGCAAGACAAAGATGGAGGAGCAGGGCGATCAGATACTGATGCTGAGTAATGGGGAGGATCAGATGGGAGCGCAGAAGCAGGCAAAATGAGGCTGGGGCAGTGAAGTAAAGGCTTGATTTTAAGAAGGAAAGTGGAGAAAATGAAAAATGGAAGGGAAAAGGAACAGGGAAGCTTGACAAAAGGAGAGGGAGGGATGCTGCTACAAGGGTGAGTATCACAGGAGAAGGAAGGAACGTGACTTCCAGCTGGAGACTTAATTTGTAAATAAGTAATTGAGGTATCATAAATGGGTAGTTGGGACATGGGTGGCGCTGTGGGTTAAACCACAGAGCTTAGAACTTGCCAATCAGAAGGTCAGCGGTTCAAATCCCCGCAACAGGGTGAGCTCCCGTTGCTCGGTCCCAGCTCCTGCCAACCTAGCAGTTTGAAAGCACGTCAAAGTGCAAGTAGATAAATAGGTACCGCTCTGGCAGGAAGGTAAACAACATTTCTGTGCGCTGCTCTGGTTCGCCAGAAGCGGCTTATTCATGTTGGCCACATGACCCGGAAGCTGTACGTTGGCTCCCTCAGCAGTAAAGCGAGATGAGCGCCGCAACCCCAGAGTCGTCCGCGACTGGACCTAATGGTCAGGGGTCCCTTTACCTTTAAATGGGTAGTTAGTAACATGGCTTACTTTACTTACCAGATTCCCCACCCCCAGAAAGGGTAAATCCAGATTCAAGGGTGGTGGAGGTACAGATTGGCATTTTTATGCCAACGACATTTTGTGGATACTGCAAAAACCTTGCAAGCACGAGGAACCCTGATCACACACGAGGCACCTGTCTGGAAGCACCCAGAGATGCAAATGAGAGACAGAAAGTGAGCTAGAGGGTGTCTGAGAGTAGATAAGCACATGCAGAACAGGAGGAGCAAGGAAAGGTGTCAGAGGAGACAGCAGAGAAAATCTAGATCGGGAGCACAGAGATGGAGAGGTTTAAAACTGGCAGCATGAAGCTTAAACTTGAAGTGATGTATGACAAGGAGCCAAGATAAATATTTAAGAAGTGGGGAGGATGTGATGGTAGCAGAAAGTGAAGTCTTGTTCACAGCATAGCACCTGGATCTACATCAGTGCCAAGGCCACTTTTAAATATTCCTGGAGTGGAGAATCTGAGGGGCTCCTTCAGTTCGCGGCAGCTGTGCCTGACCCACCCCAGGCAAAGAGAGCTTTCCTAGCACATCTGGAAGATCAAGCATCGCATAAACGTAACTGGCAGGGCTACTGGCAATTGGGGAGTAGAGATAAGGGGTGGGTTCAGGCAGAAGAGATGTGTTCTGAGATAAGATTAGAAGCTTTGCTCTTGTTAGAAATAAAGGCCAATTCCAAGCACAATTAAGAACACTGTGGCTGTTTGTGCTATTATGAAATCGCAATAGAGTTTTTCAAGCCACTTATATGAGCTGTCACTCCTCTGTTACAGCTTTATGAGTGTCAAGTCGTCGGCATGGTTGGAAACTTTTCTGTACTCCGAAGAAGCAATTGTGACCAAAGTGGAAGAGGAGGAATGACCACTGGGAGGAGCGCAGAGAGAGAAACGCCATGCACAAACGGATGCCTGCTTCTGCCCCAGCTGCAACAAAACATGTCTCTTCTGTATCAGTCTCTACAGCCACTGCAGGCGCTGTAATTCTCCAATGGTTTGACTTCACCCCCAAAGGCACACTCTTCCATTGCCTCCCAAGATAGACAGATGCCAACCAACTTCCAAGTTCATAGGCCTTACGCCACTGAATGCCAGTTACTGATACTACTATCCTGTTTGTGGGTTTCCTTGAGCCATCTGGAAGGTCACTATGGGAAACGGGAAAGTGGGATGGATATACTTTTGTTCTGATCCAGCAGAGCACTTCTTCTTCTGTAATTCAAGCTGAAAGCAGCTAATTGGCTACTTAAGGGAAGAAGCAAATAAGGAAAGGTTCAATTGCAGGGAGCAGTCAGACTACTACCGCTTCTGAACAAATATATTATTAGGATCTTGACCATGTGAACAGGAACTGCTGGACAATACAGACCTATATTTGCTTCTGCTTCCAGCTGATTGCAAAAATAAAAATGCAAGGCTTCAACAGCCCTAATGTGGAAGCAACCATCTGTGAAGTGATTTGATATTATTCTTTACAGAGGTTTGAGGGGCTTTGTTATGGTGCATACCCTCCGTGAACTTCTAAAACTAAAATATATTGATTATATGCTTAAGTGATAGGCCCTTGACCACCTGAATTTGTTATTAGAAAAACTGATATTGTGAAAGCCACAAACCTTTGTTTCAAAGCGAGTGGGATTGACTTTCATTTTTCAAGTCCACTAAGGTTATGAGGTATAAAAAGATAAGCATATCAAGAATACAGTATGTTAGAGATACTGTCTTTTTAAAACTTTAATCCTGAACATATCCAAGACAGGGACCTCATTTCTTTCTGTTTAGTCTTGTTCCCATATCCTTACCATTGAAATGTTCTGCATATGCAAAGAGAAACAGCCAAACACATTTTGATGCTTGCGGCAAAGGACAAGTTAGAACCCATTCCCCTTACAGGTGCTGATTGGACATTTTAAACATTGGTGCTGAGGAGGTGTCCTCTCCTGGGCCTGAATGCAAGAAGAGAGATTAGCTTAAGGCGTACAGAATAGTCTGCACAGGACACACACTGTTGTCCAACACCTCTCCACTGCTCTGCAATAATCTGGCACTGGCTGCCTGAGGCAGTTGCCTCACTCTGCCTTTCGGTAGGGCCAGCCCTGAGATTCAAATATGGAATTTGAACTGGAGCCATTGGCACTCCCCATGCAATATCACAAATTCCAAGCAGCGTTCTGTGGAGACTATCCAAAGCACAGAGCCACGATGCCAAGATAACGTAAGCCCCAAGCTCAATTTGTCCTGGCTTCCCTGCATGCCCATGTTATAAGCCCTCCTTGGAAGAAAGAAGAAACATATCTGGTAGTTTCTGAGTGGCTCATTTACTGTCCTCTAATTCTTCTGATGTAGCAGTTGCAGGTTCAGTGGTTGCAAATCAATGAATTCATCAAGAGTGGTTCTCTGCTGTCTCACAGCTTTTGTAACTCAGCTAACTTTGCAGCACAGCCGTCTATCAGGCCACTCCACAATGTGATTAATATATTCTACAATACTTGTCTCTTGTTTTATTGGTTTCAGCAGGAATGAATTGGCTTTTTGAGAAACAAATAGAGATCCAAACACTTGGATTCAGCCAGCCTGTCTGTGGTTGTAAGTCCGTTCATAAACTGCCATTCAAAGGATTTCTCCCCATACACGCATTAGTCACCTCACCATTGGAGGTATTGGTTTCATGGTCTGGTTACAAAATGTAGCCCCTACAACTCTGGAATACATGGTCAAGAATATGGTCATGAATCTATGAGTAGGAAAATCACTGGCTTATAAACCATTTTCAGCCACAAACTCATTCAGGGCCAGCTGAATAAATAAATAAGGGAACTTCAAAGATTTATTGAAAGCAAAAAAGGTGCCAACTTTTTCACCCAAAGAGGCTTTTCTTCTAAAACATTGGTGGCTGGTTTCCAGTGCACGCTGATTTATTCTTGTCATCACCTTCACCTTGTCCTCTTCAGCACCATCTCTGGTGCTTTCTTCTTTCCCTCTCTGAGAATCCAGAGTCTTCAGGCCAGCAGCTGTCATAAGACAACAGCTTCCATCATCTTTGTCCACTGGTCATGCTGATTTGGGATGACAGGAGCTGTAGTCTAACAACATTTCGAGGGCACCATTTTGGCTACCCTAGATGTAGACTGTGGCCCAATGGCCTAATTACACATGGTTGTCAAAGCACAGAGAAATGAGAAAGAGAGCGGCAGAAAAAGAGAGAGGAGGTGGTACCATGTCCACTTTGGGCTCTGGCCCCAAACCCTGCTGGCTTTGGCACTGCCCATCATTGCCATGCAGCCTCTCATAGATCCATCCTGAAGGAATGCAGTCCTCTCTCTGCTGTCTCTGAAGTTCTAGTCCCCCATGTTGCCCCATGAATGGCTCATGTTGGTGAGCCGGCCCAGAATCGGCCAGGTTGCCTGAGGCAAACCACTGTCTTTCAGCCTCAGTCCTCCACCTACAATTTGGGGCCAAGCATGCTGGCTTGGTAAGGGCTTTGAAATTTCTATTATTCTGGAAGAAATCATCAAGAAGCTCTACAGCAATAAAAAGGCATCCAAGCTAAAAGAGTACATCAAGTTTCTCCAGGGTAGAAAGTTAGAGTGGCACGCTGGTCAGTGTTAAGTGATTTCCATCTCCTTGATCTGGGAGGTGAGCAAGGACTTCACCATTAACATCAAGTCTATTAAAGTTGCTTTATTTTGGCTAGATCATGTCAAAGGCCTGGAGGTGAACAACTTGTGTCCGGGTTGTACCACTTCAGCTCACACTTCATACCTCTGGATGCTTCTCCCTATGTACCAAAATGTCTTGTTCAGAGAATGGCTGCCTATTGCAGGGGTTGGAGAGGCCAGAAGGCCTTTCTGTGCACAGAAACATTTTATACAGAGGTGCATTCCTTCATGTCACAAACGCACACAGTACAAAGTGGTACAGCCACCTACCTGGTTCCCCACCTTCCTGTGAATAGGCCCCAAGGGAACCTTTCCGGAGCTAAACGTGCAGCAGGTCAACTCAGGGTATATTTTCCTTTTATTCTCCCTCCTGTTTCTCCACCCCTCGAAGGTGTTGAGTGTTGGGAGCTAACGAACTTCGCCTTGTAAAAACCCCCCAGTTAATCATGTCAACTTCGCTGTAAGCAAGAGAGGAAGGGGCTTCAAAGGGGTCAGCTGAGTCCCCAGGGGACACGGGGCCCAGACGCCAGCGGAGAGATCCTAATCGGGCTTACAGCGATTGAGGGCTATATTTGCCCAAGGATTTGGGGACAGGCCAAGAGCGTTCGAAGCGAAAAAAGAGAGAAGCTCGATTCAGCCTCCATCTCCCTCAGAGAGTATTGGCTTTTGCCAGGCTCCAGGCACGGCTGCAACGCCAAGGGAAGCTCGCTCAGCCCCAAACCAGAGAGGGAGAGGGAGCGAATGAAGTACAGGAGTAATTTGAGATAATGGCTTTCTAACAGGCTTGGGCAGACCTTGGACACAAGCAAGTGATGTTATCACCCTGCATCAGCATTCCTCTTCAGAAAACAGGGCTAGGTGGTGCTGCTGGGGGTGTTTTGGGTTTATCCCTCCCCTTCCACTGCATTCCCTCCCTCCTCGCTCCTTCCGAGGGAAACATTAACATTCCATCCAGGATTGCTAAACAGAATCTTAATTAGCTGATACTCTTGCGCGAGGGTTTTTCTTAACTAATGGTTGCTGTCAGGGTATCTCTCCCTCCCTCCCTCCCTCTCTCTGTCTCTTCTTTGGGTTCTTTGGGGGATATCGTGTTCTGCTGCAAAGCATGACTGAAATGTAATGTGCAGGCGGGAGAAAAAGGGAAAGGGCAGAGAGGGAAAGGGAAGATCTGCAAATCTAAGAGTCGCAGGCCCACTCCCGGCCTGTCTCATCCGGGAGGCATTGTTGGGAGAGCTAATGAGAGGAGGAGGCGCCGCTACACTTCTCCCGCAAAAGCATGGCGAGGACTTTGTAAACAGGGCTGCTTGCAGGTGGGCTGGGCTGCGGACACTTAGAATCATGGAGGGATCCCGGGGGTCATCTAGTCCAACCCCCTGCAATGCAGGAATCCTGCCCACAGCAGTCCCTGGGTAGGGTGGACTCGAAGCAACCGGGTGCACTGACCCATTGTGCCTCTAGGGTTGCTCCCTTCCGCCCCAAAGCTCCCCTGCCGTCTAGACAGAGAGCCGGCGAAAATCCTGCCCAGCTTAAAGACAGCTAAGCCTTCCTTTTCTTTCGGAACTACAGTGGTACCTCGGGTTAAGTACTTAATTCGTTCTGGAGGTCTGTTCTTAACCTGAAACTGTTCTTAACCTGAAGCACCACTTTAGCTAATGGGGCCTCCTGCTGCCGCTGCGCCACCGGAGCACGATTTCTGTTCTCATCCTGAAGCAAAGTTCTTAACCCGAGGTACTATTTCTGGGTTAGCGGAGTCTGTAACCTGAAGCATCTGTAACCTGAAGCGTCTGTAACCCGAGGTACCACTGTATATATTCTTCTAACCTGATCCTGCCCCCACCCCCACCCCGCAGGCTCCTCTAGGGTGCTCCTTTTTCTTTAGGGTTATCCAGCACACTCCCAACTAACGGTGCTTTTACTAACCAGGCCGCTACGAGAACTTGGCCCGCTTATTGCCATGGTGTGTGGAAGGAGGGTGTCGGGCCTGTAATAGCGGCGTCCCCTAAGGCACACTTACCTGAGAGTTTCCCACCGTATCAGCCTGGTTAAGGCTGCGCTGCATCGTAGCACCCCCTTGCACCGAACCGGACACATTGGCAAGCGGCGCGCGCATTCTTTAACCCAAGGAAACGGTCTTGTTTTCCAGCAGCGCCTGGTTGCAGTTCGCTTGCCCCACTAGTCTCCTCCACCTGAGTAAGCGGACAGCCCAGTTAGTATAGCATGAGGCTCTTAATCTCAGGGTGGCAGGTTGGAGCCCCACGTTGGGCAGGAGGGTCGGACTAGATGACCCTCGTGGTCCCTTCCAACTATGTGGTTCTGTGAAAGCAGATGGGTGAGAGTTGAGAGCCGGAGGGTCCTTTTCTCATGCTGCTTCGGTGGTGAAGTCGCTGATATAATCTGTGACGCCTTATATGGGGGAAAATGAGTGTTTGTATGATTGAGTTAGTATATATGACACTTTTCTTCTTTTTTAAAAAACCTAAAATTGAAAGGCTCGAGGTAAGCACTATATGGGCACGATCCACTGGGAAGTTTTCTTGCGCTGGTCTCCTTTGGAGTGGCATTGCCCTTCGATTTCGATGTGCTCTTAAGGTTGAAGTCCTATGTTATCTGAGGTTGGGAGTGAGCCCTGGAAGTCCGTGCGCCTTGCTTTTGACAAGGCTTGATAGGGTTGCACTAGAAGTGCTCCACGTTAGCTGGACCTTGCCTTGTACTTGCAAATGAAATGCTAAAACGGTGCCCTCTTCGCCTCCCCATTCATTTCAATAGGAGTTATTCGCTCAGGAAACCCGCCTGCTTGCGCCCTGGGCCTTATTATTTTGCATTTGAAGCTGGCAGCGCGAGGAGGGAAACAGAAGAGCCTTCACCTGGCCAGCGAAAGGCGCAAAAACCCCAAACCCACCACGAAGGAAGGCCTGGTGCCTGACGTTAACCCTAAAGAAGACGGATCCTGTTTCACGGGAAAGGCCCAGGAATAAGCGCTTCTTTGTCTGCCAACCTGCTCTTTGCCGCTACCCAGATTTTGGAACTAAGTCAATTAGGTTAATAACGATTAACATGGATATCACTACATATCTAGAGAAAGTGACGAGGAGGTGCGAGGCACAGTTGTTGTTTTTTCAGATGAGCTGTTGGAGTCTATTTTATTGCATTTTTAGTTTCAGGTTGCCGATATTTGTATGTGGATCCGTATTTTTGAGATACGGATCGTTGGACACGATGGATCTGTTTGGCTTCATTGTTCTTCTATAGGCCGCCTTGAACGCGGCCCAAGGCGGCGCATAGAATTGAAGTTTAGCTCAATCCAGCCCCAGTCTGCTCAGAAGTGAGTTCAATTGGGCTTCGTTTATTATTTAGAATGTGATCCTAATACCCTGCATACCTGCGTAAGCAAGTCCAAAGACAGCTTTTAAAATACTGTAAGCTGTTTTGTCCTGGGAGGCGGGTCGGGAGAAACTCTGCGGTGATCTACTGGGGCCCTTTTGGCTTAAGCGCAGACCTCCCTCTCTGCTTGCGTAAAAGACGTCGTCGATTACTCAACAAAGACTTCGCCATAAAACTCGCAGGGCCGGAGGGAGCTGAGCGAAGTGAGACAATAGGGCGAAGTTGGTTGATGTGGCAATAATAATGCTTAGAGAAAGTGGGGTGGGGGTGGGGGAAGCAGACGCACGACTCTCGACCATTTAATTGCTCCTTTTAAACCTGTTATTACGATGTTAACTGGTTAAGTATATATTGCTGCCTTTTATTGCCTTGATGTGACAAATTAAAACATACCCTTCTGAAAAGAGGCTTTTATTGGTGGAGGAAGAGGCAGGGGGAGGCGGGGGGCGACAGAGCTGTCAGGCTGAATTAATGGGGGGGACTTGCATTTTTTCCCCTTTGCGATTTTGCTGCTATTGCGTTTTTTGGAAGGGGGCGGGAAGAGTCCATCAGCCACATTCGATTTCTGTTCTCTCTTTTTCTCGCGTCGCGAGGTAGCCTTCGACGCAGTTTATATATAGATCTGTGCAATCTGCATCATCTCTTTATTTATTGACCCGTGCCTTTCCATATATAAAGGCACTGCGTCTTTTCTCTCATTTCTCCTCGCGATCTTGCGCGTTACTCAAGGGCGAAAGGCGAATGCCTTTTCGCTCCTGAAGTGAGCTGGAGGTGGACGCCCTCAAAGATGTCAAGTGTGAACGTGGCACAGACATCTTCGCTTTGTAATGTGCTAAGAGAGAGTAGTGACCTGTCCAGGACTCACGCTGTTTAAAAGGGGGTATTAAAAGTGGTGAATTGAGATCTGAACTGGGAAAGCTCCGTTTACAAAAGGTGTGTTTGTTCCCAGAAGAGATTTTCCCACCTCGCCGCCCCGCGTAGTGAAACTCTCATAGTGAGATCTGAAAAAAAATGTCATCAGATCGTCAAAAAATCCGTGAACAGAGAGGAATGGCTCTTTAATGGTTTTATCTTTTTTTAAAAAAATCGAGAAGGGCGAGTCCTTGTTTTGAACAATGAATGGCTGGATTATTTTCAAAGCAACGTTCAACACACGCACTTAAAAAAATAACGCCAAAAATCTCGACCATGGGGTGCTCAGACCTGGGGTGTTTCCTTTTAACACCTCTCACCCATTTTTTTAGAGGATGGGGGTCAAGCCTGAAAGCGGAACCGTTTATCTCTTCAGTTTCAAATAAAGTTCTTTAATTTTACACTCTGCAGTTTAAGTCACTCCTGTCGGAAGGCATGTCCTGCGCAGCTTACTCGAGAGCAAACGTTGTTGAATCCATTGAGCTCGGAGAGGCTTTGGCTTCCGAGTAAACAAGCACAGGATCGGTCTGCGCAGCTTAGACAAAGCGCGCGCCCCTTGATGCCCTCTGGCTTGTCGCTCCAAACAAGTAGGTCTCCACGGCCCTGTTGCTTCGCGTCCAGTTTCAGAATCCAGCTTCGGAAGTTGAGAACTTTAAATAACAATAAGAATAATATATTGTTTTTAAAAAGCAACCTTCTTCTCCCTCGAGAGAAGGAAGAGGAAGACGGGAGGCGCTCTCCTCAGCTCCTTCGGAGGAGTTCTCTCCGCTCCGGCCGCGATCCGCTTTGAAGCCGTTTCTCTCTTCCCAGGACTAACTCGCTCTCTAGGAAGGGAGAAAGAAAACGACCCGATGAAGGAGACTGCCTTTGGCGGGGGCGCCGCCTTCAGCCACGCGGAGCAGCCAGAAGGACCTGCCCGGAGGAGGGAGGGGACGGAGGGCCGCGATGACATCCTAATGAAATCAGCTCGGAATCCATTACACGAGAGGATTAGCTAATTACCAGATCAGAGAGACGGAGAGGAAAAATAAATAAATATGCCTTTAAGTAACCGAAAGTAATTATAACCCCATTGTTGACGCTAACGATTAATAATTGATCGGATGTTCTACACAATGAAATGTCAGTTTATTCTCCTTTGGATGCGCATATGGCTATTTCTTTTAAGGAAGCGGGGCGGAGGTGGGGGAGGGGAATACCCTGTCAATAGGATCACAAACATTTTCCTTGGCATGGGGAACTTGGTTTCAGGCGAGGATCTCTCTTGTTCTGGGGAACGGAAAAGCTGGGTGCCTCCCTAGGCCCGTGGCCATCCAGACGGGTCTGGATTGCAGCTCCCATCGCCTCTGACCATTGGTCATGCTGGCTCAGGCTGATGGGAGCTGGAGCCAACGACAGCTGGAGGGTCACACTTTTTGCCACCGGGCTGGGCAGGTATTCTGACTTTTGCTATTAGATTTAGCGCCTTATTTAACGGGAAGTTAAGACGCAAAGCTCGCTTTTAGCCCTGGGGAGATAATTCGGTTACATTCGCTCCTGCACAAATGTGCACAGACGCCTTTAAAAAGGAAGGGAGCTGTACTGCCACGTTTCATAGGAAACTGTTTTCCTATGTTCATGTCGTTTGTTCGGTTTCTGTTTAATATACAAGCCTTCCCCCGATTGGAGGCCTTACAGGGAGAGTGGGGGGCACTGGTGCAGCTGCCTGCAAATGAAGGGCTGGTGATGTGGGGGGGGGCAGGATTTGGGCCTCTTAGAAGAAGCAGGTAGCTCACGGCGCACAATATATATAATAAAATATCTCCTATATAGCACCCAACGCCGCTAAAACCCTCGTGGGATGGTTCTATTCGCCCTCGTCTCAAGGGCAAAGTTCCCATAGGTTTGAACGGCAGCCAAGGATAGGGTGCAATTGCGTCACTGAGAAGCGCATACCGTTGGAGAGCAACGATGGGGGAACGGTTTTGCTTGCTGTCGGGCACGTAGCCACCCCCCCCCCGCGCACTCCTGGCACATCTGCTTAAGCCTTAAGGGGAGGGGGATGATGCAAAATAATGAATCGCGCGCATGGCGAGGCTTCAAAACAGAGAAAAGCTTCCAAGCTTCGAGAATGCCATTGCTTTGATTTATTTTATTACTTTTAACCGCGGGGTTGTGCGGGAGCGTCCTGACGTTATGTGTGCATTTTGAACAGTCAGAGGAGTTCCGTCAGATGAGTAGCTCTAAAGGTGTTTCCAAATTCTTGCCTCGCTTTACTCTTTCCTATTTCAGAATCTGATTCTGAGTCTTCTCCTGTTTCCCTCCAGTTCCCCGCTTCCTTCTCCCCGCCGCCAGCTCTTCGTGGGGACGGCGGACGCGTGCTTTCAGCACGCCTCACCCACCCAAAATAAATTACGTGTTCATCCAGTGAGCATCCTTCGATAGGTTGGAGAAAGTGTGGGCAGATAGGTAGCCCCTTCCTTGGCATGTTTACTCGGAAATAAGTCCCACTTGGTGCAACGGGACTTACTCCCGGGTAAGTGTACATAAGATTGCAGCCTTAATCCTTATTGTTAATAAGCAGCAAAGCCTTGAGCTGTTAATTGGATTTCGGCTTCTCTTTTCTGACGCCCGGCTATTAGCTGTGACGTTTCTCATGTATTTGTTAAGGACTTGTGTTCCGCTTTGTGCTTGGCTCAGCGCGGCCGAAGAGGAACGCCCCCACTCCAGTTTAGGGATCCCTCCCCATCCCCAGAGGCGAAAAGCCCTGGTGGCCTGCAGTCTCTCTCTCTCTGTGCGAGGTTGGGGCATGGCTGGGAAATAAAGAGGCGACACCGATTTAACCTCCTGCGACGGCTGGCCTTGCATGCTGCTAACAATGCATCTTTGAAAATCCCCAGCGGCGCGATCCACCAGCTTTCAAAGCTGATATCGTTGGCGTTTGCAAACTTATCGGTTTGCACATTCGCTAGAAGCAACCCCATAGGACTTCGCGTTCGCGTAAACGCGCGCAAGGTCAAGTCTGCGAGTCCCATTGAACTGAACGGCAGTCTATCCTCCAGTAAACGAGCGAGCGATTTGCGGACAGGTTTCCGAGCGAGAAGCCCCAGATACCGAAAAGGCTCCCAGAGGCTTGATGGCTACAGACCTCTTGCTGGTGCAAGGCTGCCTGCACACCAGACATTTACAGCGCATTTAAAGCACACGCGCTCCAAGAACCCAGGCAGCTGTAGTTTGCCCCTCGCAAAGTTGCAAAGCCCAGCACCCTGAACAGACTACAGTTCCCAGAATTATTGGAGGGGCGTGCATGCGCTTTGAATGCACGCCGTGCGCGCAGCCCTGTGTACAGACGTTGAATTTAGCTCTGCCCTTGCAATCGTGAGCTTGCCCGCGGGAGCAAATCCCTCTCGGTCTCCTTTGAAATAAACAAGCAAGTCAACACAAAGCAAACAAAAACAAGCAAACGACGTCTGACCAAGGAAGTGAAAGGCGAGCGGAGGAAGACGCGTCCTGCCCTCGCCAGTTCTTGCCCCCGCCCGCCTCACTGCAAGGCAAACAAGCCCTCCCTTCTTGCCAGCAACTGCTGACATTTGTAGGCAGGAAAGGAAGGAACAGTACAGAGATGGGGCGAGCGGGTGTGTTATATCATATCTCCCCCTTACTGGACCGCAGCTAGCCCAGTCTGACCATTTCTTCGAGTCCTGGTGATGTAAGGCGGGTGTGTGTGTGTAGGTGTAGACCTTTTACATGCCAGGCAAGGTCGCATTTCGCGAAGCAAAGGCTACCTTGACTGCTACAGTTTCATGCAAGCACATTAAGAGGAGTCCGGTTGGATCAGGCCTACTTGCGCGCAAGTAGAGAGCGCAAACTGAAAACTGGGCGAGTTGGAAAAGTTGGGAAGGGTCGCAGCGAGAGAAACAGGAGGGGAAATGTTTCTTTGGGGTTTGAATCTGTTACTGATAGTAATAATAATAATAATAATAATAATAATAATAATAATAATATACCAAGGAAGGGGACTCAATGGGTTTTCAATAGCATGTGCACCACCAAGAACAGCAGACCAGTATTTGCACGATTTCCTTTTGGATTTACATTACTCTGTTTCTGTTGTTTACTCTTCAGTAGGTATGGCAGTTTAGCTCTCCTTTCGTTTATCTTAGCGTAGAATTCAGCTGGAAGATCTCCTGCACAAGCCTCCATTTCGTAATGTTCCAGTAAGACCTTGCAGAGGAGCTTTAAACGGCGCCAAACTTCCGCTTAAATGAATGGGGCATGCGCAAGATTTTACTCGCGTTCAGCCAATGAGGGCTTCGCGTTCATTTATACCTTTTAATATCTAACGCGATATCGTTTCAGCTCATCACAGTGGGGGGCTTGCGCAGGAGAACTTCCCGATGGATGCACCTTAATTGCTATTTAATAAATCGGTTTGATTTGGGTGAGGCGGTGGAGACTGAATCCATTGCAAAGAGATAGTAATTCACCTCTCTCTCTCTCTCTCTCTCTCTCTCTCTCTCTCTGTGTGTGTGTGTGTGTGTGTGTGAATGTGAAGTAGATTATACCAAAACCGTTGGATGTGACAGGCAAAGAGGGAAATGTTTCAAAGCCAGCTGCCCAAAGTCTTTCGACTTTTCCTTCCAGAAAAAGAAATCCCAGGTCTAAATTCTAGCAAGGGGTGAGTAAATTATGGAAATCTTAGATAATTCTTTGGGCGTATAAACATCAAAGGAGAGTCGTTAGCTTTCCTAATCTCTGCCACAGAATGGATTTTCAAAATAAAATAAAATAAAATATAAAACCAACTGAAATGTACATGTTATCCAACAGAGAACCTGGTGTATAATAAGGCGAGGAAGGGAGGAGAGAGAGAGAGAGAGAGAGAGAGAGAGAGAGAGAGAATGAATATCCACGCTATGGGAGCAGGAAGCTCCCATTCAAAGGTCGCCGCGAAAGGGAGCGCGGGATAATTTTACACTTTTCTCCTTTAGAATAATAATCTGACAGATACGATGGAATTGTTGGCATCTATATCGCCCATCTGCCCGAAGGCACTATATTCCCTCAAAAGAGCTTTAGCCTGAAAAAATATATATCACATATAAAAATTACGCTGAGTAGTATTTAAATACAAAACTGTATTAAACCCACAAGTTACCGTTATAAAGCCAAAACACAACAAATTCCACAGCTTCGTTTGAAGCCTGCTGCGGCCAGGGATAGAAATATCAGCCAGTTGCTGAGAGCACCATTCGCCAGGGAAGTTCTCCTGCGCACGCCCCATCGAAATGAACGGGACGTGGGCAAGAGGACTCGCGAGGAAACCTAATGGAAAAGCGTGGTTCGTTTCAAGTGAGGCTTGCACAGGAGAACTGCCCCCCTCGGCTGACCCTCTTAACATTCTGCACTGAGAAATTTGAAATGTCACATAGAAAGGATCTTATAATCCTAAATAAAGAAATAAAAAGTATAGATGGGAAGAAATAAAATTTTAGATAAAGGAGGCAGGCAAACAGATTTGGTTTGTGTCAGAATTGCTGTAAAGAAGAAACACTTTAGGAATGGGTTGGAAGTCTAGAACGAATTGGGAATAGCTCTGGGGGTGGGAATGGGGGAAGGCCCGAATCACTCAGATAAATAGACCCCATTATTGCTGGACCACCATCCAAACCTGTGCTAAAATATTGTCCCAAAATATTTACTTTGAACTCAGTTCTGGTGACATCAGTGAAAACTTTAACAATTGGGTGATTTTAGGATTGCAACGTAGAGTATGAATATTTTAAAATTATTATTATTATTTTAAATGTTGCTTTCTACACACACACACACACACACACACACATACACGGCAGCCACCTGCCCAAGAGAGCTGTCTTTTGGTTAGGCTACTTTGTTTACTTAGGGGGAAGGTGATGAGGATGATGTTGTTGTTGATGATGATGATAAGCAAATACATTCTGGTAACAACATAAGCTGTAGGTAACCTTCTGTAATTACACCACAGACATGCACGCAGATTCCACTCTTTATCCAGTTAACATTCCCCAGGCTGAACCCTGAAGTATCTAAGATCACTTTCAAATGCCCTTTCTAACAAGCCCCTGAGCAGGAGGCCACTAATTTTCAGCGAACAAAAAGCCACTGGAGAGAGCCCCGTTTGTCAATATCAACTGGTCGAGCAATTTCCCATCTTCAGACACATCGGCCTATCTGAGCTGGCAGATGTTTAGACAAGATTTTATAAATTGTTCAATATCAGCCCGTAATGAACCCCAACTGACCATTCCAAAGCAGCTAAAAGCACCCAGGATCTCCCCTGCTGGGATCTAATAATGCTCTCACGCTGGAACATTATTAATCATGGAATAAAATAGATGAGCCTCTTGAAAAATAAGTGTATGATTGATTAAAGGGCAATCTAAGAAGCTATTATTCTTGTTTTATAACCGTAAGTTATATTCACTCAATTTATCTTTGAGGGAGAAAATAAATGGTTGTTTGTCTCCTTATTGAAATTATATTATAAGGGAATTCTCATTATTCGGTGGGGGGGGGAGGGATTGAAGTGATGGTTTAGCTTTTTTTTTAACCTAATGGTGAATCTCTTAAGTGATTACCACATTATAGATATATTTTTTTTAAGAGGTGGGATATTTTCCTTTTTTTTTTTACTTTCAAGTGTTTTGTATCTCTTGATAAAAATGAAACACAAATCTTCACTTAGAGTGCAAGTAAATATGGCATTTTGAATTAAGAATTCTAGCACTAAATACAACAGGATATACAATAGTAATCTTTTAAAAATGTAAATTGTATATAGTCCAGTGCAACAGATTCACTCTGAAGGTTTTTATTGTCCTGCAATATATACGTTCAACAGGTTTAATTAGCCACATTGCTAAATATATTTTAAATATTTAAGAAGTTACCTTAGGCAACTGTAACAGTGATATTTTATAAATTATCATGAATTACAAAAAAAGATAAATACTAAAAATGAACAAAAAAAGGCCACCACCTTATTGTAGACTAATCTGTTTTTATTTACAATTAAAGATATAAATTAGTAAAGAATTCTCGTTAAACAACGAGGGATTGTATAACCATCAATGTCTCAAATAAAAACCAGGCATAATTTATTTACAAAAGAGTTGGGATTCCGTTGCAATACAACTTGCATAAATTACTAGAAGCTCTCATATCATTACAAAAATAAATATCAAATTTGTTTCCACTTTGTAAGTACTCAAGTTCTTCAGTCATGGTTTATTTAATTAATTGCTACTGTATGTATCTTTTACAAAGTGTTTGTACAATAAATCCTATCACACCTACAGAATATAGATATATATAGATATATATATATATACCGTGGCAATAAGCTGATCAATTCGAGATATCCTGAGAAAAAACAGATTTGCTTCTTTCTTTCTTTCATTCATTCTTTCTTTTTAAGTCACATATACATTGGGGAGAACTAGACTATACCAGTAAACTCACATAATGTCCAGCAAAATTCTGGTTTAACAATTAGAGAGAGTCTGTAGATTTAATAGTGCTCTGTGGTCTTCTTTTATACAGTGGCACAAGATGTGATCCAGATTTAGAATTTTGTTAGAGATAGATAGATTAGCTTGGGGAGAGATGATGGCTTGTTGACTTTTCTCAAAGCAATTGTGACACCTACCTGTGGACCAAGGAAAACACCAGATCATCCACAATCTTTCAGTTACACGCGGCGTGTTAAAAATGGAAGGCAAACTAAAACGCTTTTTCTTTTCTTTTCAGCATAGGAGGATTAGGCTTGGGTTCTGTTCTGCCCCCCCCCCCCCCCGTGGGGGTGGGAAATGGTTGGCCACAAGATATTCTTTAATCCTAACTATAGCAGCGATTTGGAAATAAATGGGGAAACAGAGGCAATTCATGCAGACACTATGTTCTCTTTGGAACCCAGCCAGGATTTATCTCATTTTCCTTCTCTGCTGTTTAAATGTATATAAGCATGCTAACTAAAATCACTCTTTATTTTGATTCACAACTATTAGAATTGCATGTTTATAAAGATGCCTTAAGGGGCATTTGAGCAGGGAAATCTTCTGTACAGCACCCGAAGCATTGAATCAGTGCAATCATGTTCTTTTATTTGGCATGCTGATATACATTTCAAATAGTACAGAGGGACAATGAGATGAATTCTGGCTGGCTTCCAAGGGGAACACACAACTATCCGCCCATATATTTCGACAGGGCCTTATGTAGGAGGAGTTCCCAATCTACTGCAGTTCCAATTTTCCAATAATAATTTGGGGAAATAAAAAAAAAAAACCCTATGATTTAAATATTTATTGAAAATACACAACTTTCATTTTTTTAAAAAAAAAAGCAGGAGGCTTGTGTGAAATAATTGAACTGATTTCTCCAAAAACATAAAAAAACACACACAAAAAAAAGAAGGGTGAAAATGCAATAGGCTTTTCTTTTTGTAATAATGCTCTTTTGGTAATGGAGCAAGAAATTAACATTAAGCAAATTTGCAGGCTGAGCAATATGTTTCTGGAGCTGATGCCAAATGATCCTCCTAAGCGGTGTAACAGAATAGAAGGAGAAAGAAGGAGAAAAGGAGCTGGTCTCACTTACTTGCCTGGCTGCTGTGTGATTGCACTTCTATAGGTATGGTTGTAGTCCTACTGTGCACACTTCAGTGGGGTCTGTCAAAATAGAAGCGTCAGTTAGTCACAGGACACAGCTGGCTAACTAGATTATACACTCTGGGCACAGCCTAGCTCCCTCTTGCACAAAACCCCTTGGAAGGCCTTTTCTTGAGCTGGCATTTCTCAGCGGATCTGGGAGTGAACTCGTTCGAAGGGCCAGCATTCTTAATTACTTGTTTTAAATTTAGCATAACTTGTAGCAATGTCTCAGACCAATAATGGAACTTTGAAGGAGACAGACAACTGAAGCTGCAATCCTAAATGAATTGCCTTTAGATTCGGTCCCATTCTACTCAAGTGGGGGGGGTTACTTCCGAGTAAATATACTTGGGCACAAGCTATCAGACTTCTCTCTGCTTCACACTGTACTGTGTTTCCTCTCTCTCCCAAACCTGAAACTGTTCTCTTTTTTTGCTTGGGAATATTGCCAAAACAATATTCACCCTTGCTGTTATTTCTCCCCTCTTAGCAACAAAAACAATGAATAAACTTTCTGCAAATATTTTCAGATTATATACAGGTTCAAGGAGTTTTTAGTGATTTTTAGAGGCATTTTAATTACACGGAGCAATTTATTTACATTATGTTCCTAATCACATTCATAACTGGAAGGCAAATCTCAGCGTTTTCTGTTAGATCCTCTTCTTCAGAGGCCTGGCCACAGCTTCGGGCTGCAATCCCACACAAAAGGGCTGCTTTGACAACAACAACAACAAAATTAAAATCTATGGAATTCCAAGCAGAAGAACTGTGACCTGGATTGCAGCTTCGAAAAAGAGTTTTGTACCTGGACTGTCAGAAACCACCATTGCCTTCTTGCTTGTAGCACCCACCTTATTGTGATTTTTTTTGGGGGGGGTAGGGTAAATTTGCACCCCACATTATTCCTTAGTAGAAAAGAAAACCTAGCCAGCAAACACCTACCTTTTTTGGAGTCTGGATTGGAAGGCTTGTAATGTTGTTCTAGGTGGCTCGCGATGGTTTTCAAAGAGTTCTCCGAGCCCTGCTTGTGCACCGAGCTACTGCCGCCTCCGCCGCCGCTGCTTAAGACCGTCTGACTTAGCCCCTCGCTGGAGGCCACCGTCGCTGTGTTGTACCTCAGGATGCCCTGACCCTGGAGGGCGTTGAAGTTCCCATAGTTTGTGTAGTTGCTATAAAAAGGCGAGGTGTAATAAATATGCCTCCCCAGGAGAGAGGAGGGCGAGTAGGCAGCGTTGTGCGGGGTGGAAGAGGGCGGCACCGACGGCTGGCAGCTCTGGCCCAGGTTGTGCGGGTGGTGGTGGTGGTGCTGAGGGTGCTGAGGGTGCTTAAGGTCCGAGGTGGCGATTTCCGCCAGCGACCACAGCTTGGGCTTGCTGGCCGGCGTGGTTTGCGAAGCCGCCGTCGGGGCCATGCGGGCGTCCAAAGCGGCTTTGTTGGCGTTGCGCGCGGAGTCCTCGGCGTGCGGGTGACCCAGCAGAGGGGCTTCCACCCCGGTGAGAGGGGAGGAGGTGACGGGCTTGGAGGGAAGACCCCTGTCCGCCGCTGCCTCGTCGTCGTCCTCCTCCTCGTCGTCGTCGTCCTCCTCCTCCTCGACGTCGTCCTCGTCCTCGTCGATCTCCTCGTACTTGTCCTTGCACTCCGAGCCGGACTCGCAGAGCGGGTCCCCGGCGCCGCAAGGGGCCTTCTCGCCGTCCGATTCGGCCGAGCAGGAGTGGTCGGTGAGCGAGTCCACCTGCAAGCTGATCCCTGCGGCAGAGAACCAGGGGAACCGTCAAGGAAACCAGGCAGAGGCACCGGCTGCAGCAGCGGGAGGAGGAGAGCGCAGCACCCCGTCTCCTAAACCTCAGGCTCCCCGCCACCCCCAAAACAGGTGGCAAACAATCGGAGCATCTCCTGCTCCCCACTCCAGGGCCCCCCAGAGGTGATCTCCTGCGAAATCTCCTCGGATCCATAGGCCTCTTGAGGGCATCTTAGCTTCCACCATAGGTGGATCGGACGGCCCGGCCGTGGGTTCAGGTGTCGGCATAAGGCACAAGCTTGAGATAGGAGCCAAGGTCCCTTCGAAGCCCCCCTCCCCAATAAAATATTTGAGTGGGCTTGGCCCGCCCAAAGATGATGGCCATTGCCTTTCAAATGGTGTGCCTGCCCCGCTACTTGTGATCGCTTATGTGTGGCAGGGCTTACTTGCCCCCCCCCAAAAAAACCACATTTTATTGAGAAGCGGCCTTCAGCCTCCTCTGCTCCCCCGTCGTGTGCTTCTGCTACAAATAATCCTCGTCCTCATCTCCTTTCCAAAGCCGCTGCAAGCACTGCCCGAGACAATGTCCCTGAAGCGCTCCGAAGGCTTGAGATCCTTCAAGCCTGTTTACCTGGAAGCGGGATAACTACCGCGGTTTACACGGCCTTTTCCCGAGGCAAGCGCCTACGGGGAAGCAAGCTTCACTCCGCTCCGTGGCGCTTACTTCGCAAGGAACGGCGCTCCCCGCTGTCTTTAAAAGAGAAAGTGCAGGGGCGGCGGCGGCGGAATCCCTGGGGATGAATGTGGAAGATGCGCGCAATGCAATGCGTGGATGCTGCCCCTCCAGCCTGCAATAATCCCCCCCGCGCGCACACACACACTTACCTCCGAGTAAGCCCCACTGAACTCCGAGGTAGACCTGCACCGGGTCGGGCTGCAGGGCTCCTTGCAGGCCCATGATCTGCCTCCCTGCCCCACGAAACCAGCCTGTTCCTCCCTCACCTTCATCCTCGGCCGACGTCTCGTTGCTGTCGCGGCCTTTGTCCGACGGCAGCGCCTCCTCTTCCTTGCCGCGGATCCCGCCGCCGCCGGCGTCGAGGTCCTCGTCCTCGTCCTCGCTCTTGTTGCGCGGCGCCCAGGTCATCTTGTTCTCCTTCTTGAGCCTCCTCCTGGCGTTGGCGAACCAGGTGGAGACCTGCGTGAGGGTCATCTTGGTGATGATGGCCAGCATGATCTTCTCGCCTTTGGTGGGGTAGGGGTTCTTGCGGTGCTCCTGCAGCCAGGCCTTCAGCGTGGCCGTGGCGTCCCGCGTGGCGTTCTTGCGGTATGCGGGGTCGTTCAGCTGGTAGGGGTAGGCTGGGCTACCGTAAGGGTGGTAGCTGATGGCCCCGCTCATGCCCGTCGCGTGGGCATCGTAAGGGGAGCCCTGCCAAGCACAAAAGCAAGGGCGTTAGGCATTTCGGAAGAGCTGGCAGCCACCAGCTAGCAGGCAACGCCACGGGAGCGACTATTACATTTTACGCTAATGTAATGCAATCACTCCAGCGAACAATGTTATTATTTCTTAATTGTAGTGCCGAGCACTCCTGCATTATTATAACTCAAGAAGGAAAAAATAAAGTATCCAGAGGGCTTTCGAATCCCTTCTTCCCTCTGAAAACTGCTGATGTCTTCGTCTTCGTTGCAGTTTATTGCAATTCAACGCAGACATTTTTATTTTCTCCCTCCAAAGGCCCTACAGGTAGTTTCTTAAAATGATAGCTTTCTACTTTTCCTCTCCCCTCTCCTCCTCCTCCTCCGCCTCCACACATGGTTGCAACGATATTTCCTCTGTTGCCATACAGGAAAGAGAGAGAGAAAGAGAGAGAGGAGAGAGAGAGAGACAACAAAGCCCCCCACTTAGCAATTCACTTCGCTAATGCATTGCAAATCCAATTTGCAAACCAGAAGATATGCACCGTTTCGAATTGGTCAAATGCGATATAATTAGCATTTTAATTCGCCCTTTAAACGTTTAAATTGCGCTGATTTAAAGTCTGCATAATACGAGGGTGAGGAGAGAGAAGAGAAAAGGGGGGGGGGGAGAGAGGAATTAGTTGAGCCAACTTGATAACTTTCGGAGTCGGTCCAGGAAACCAAGCTAAACACAGCGCTCCGAATGTACCTAATGTTCCTAAATAGCCCGGGAACAATAAGGCTTGGCAACTTGCGACTGCTTTTCTTCTGCCACGAGAAAGTCAAACAGAGGAGCGTTTGAGATCGGCTCCCATTATCCTAAATAAAGATCGCCAGGCTGGGAGAAAAGGTGCGGGGGGAGAGGAGAGGGAGAGTCGACTCCAGCCAAAGGCGCTCGATCTGATATCTCTTGTGTAGTGAAACAAAACGAACCCTTTGCCCCACTTTCCCAGGACCAATTGGCTCCGCTAACTTTAATCCTTCGTCGGTTTCCAATAGCTGCAAAAACACGCGCGATCGCCAGCACAGACGTGCTCGGAAGGAAGCGCGAGTTGGAGGTGGAAATCCGTCCGAAGAGGAGACCTCTCTCTTCTCTCCCCCAGCAACAAATAAATAAAAATAAATAAAAATAAACAGCACCTTTAATCGAGTTTCAGCTTGGACTCCTTTCCATCGTTAGAAAGCGCCCCACCCCCAGCCCCGGTAAATCACATAGATTTCTAAATATATATATGAGAGAGAAGCGCTAAAGAGATCGAAGGAAAAAGTGGGGGAGGATACGGATGTCAGAAAATGAAAGTGAGCGAGGAGAAAAGAATAAAGGAAATAAATTGCGAAGGGAAAGAAGCGAGGGAGATGGAAAGAAGGGAAGGGAAGGGGGAGGGAAATGAGAAGATGGATAACGAAGCGAAGCAACGAAAGAGGGGAAAGCGAAGGAGGAAAGTCGAGAGAAGCGCAGCGAGGCTGCCTCGGAGGAGGAGCGCTTCCGTGTGTGTGCCTAACGCGGGTTGCCCGGCGTGTTGCATCCCCACGACCCCCCAGCCTAGCCCGGGCAGCCTCGGCGCTGCGAGCGGGGGAAGCGATGGAGGAGGATGAAGATGGAGGCGGCTGGCGCCGGCGGCGGGCTGTCCGGTCCGTTACCCACCATGTAGGAGGGGAATCCCGTGGCCGGGTCGGTGGAGTACTGGAGCGGGCTGCTGAAGCCGGTGGCTGCCGCTTGGGCGGTGAAGGCGGCGGATCCGGGGTAAGGGCTGAACGCCGAGCCCGAAGACGACCTGGCCAGCTCTTCGCTCCGGGGCGCCGCCAGCGCCGACGCCCCGTAAGCCGGGCACGAGTAGAGCGCCAGCGAGCCCGGGGGCTGGTAGAGGTAGCCCTGAGGGTAGGACATGGCTGGCCCACGGGCAGCGAGCGAGCGAGCGAGGAAGGGGCCTGGGCTGAGGCGAGCGGAGGACGACTGCGGGCGCTTCAGCTACGGGCGCCGCCGCCCGCTCGCTCGCTGCAGCCGCTGAGGAGCTCACAGCGTCCCCTCCATAGGCGGGAGGAGCGCGAGCCAAAAGGAGAGCTCGGCGCGAGGCTGAGGGAAAGCCTCTCGCACGTCCCGGGAGCGCGCGCGCGCCCGCCCGCCGCCGCCGCCTCGCGCGCTCGCCCGCGCTCCTGCTTTCCCACGCAGAAGTCACCCGCGGCTGCTGCTGCTGCAAGAGGAGGAGGCGGCGGGCATCTGGGCAAGAGGAGCGCGCGGGAAAATGGAGGCGGAGGAGCGGGAGGAGGAGGAGGCGTCTTCCCCAGCCCGGGCGGGGAAGGGGCGGCCGAGCAGAGCGCGCGCGAGGCAAAAGCAGCCTCGACCAGGCTCCGCCAGGCAAGCGGCCGCCGCGACGGCCGGCCAGCCCCGGCGGCTCGTCCGGTCGGCGCGCTCGCGAGCCGCCCCCCTTGAGGCGAGCGAGGCGAGCTTTCCCCCCCGGCGCCCGGCGCGACCAGCTTTTGGCGCGGGCATCAGGGAGTCTGCGAGGCGAGGAGTTTTGTGAGGAGAGGAGTTTCGCCGGGGCATTGGCAAGGCGAGCTGTCCGTCACGGCGGCTCATTTGCATGCGGAGGAGGACACGCCCCTCGCCCGGCTTCTTACCCACCGAAGGAAGGAAGGAAGAACTGGGGCGGGACTCCCGGCCAGCGAGAGAACAGGGAATGAAGCCCCGCCCCCGGCGCCTGAAGGGAGGAGGAGAGAGAGCGCGCGCGAGGATGGGCCGCTGGGGCTGCGGCTGAAGAAGCTGGCCGGGCGCCGAGCGACCAAAGGCGGCCTTGTCTCGTGCTCCCCACCTCCTCCCGCCCGCCCGCCGGCCGGGCCTGGAGGTTATATAGCGTCACGTGGTCGCAGAGCTGCGCCGAGGGAGGGAGGCCGGGAGGGCTCCGAGGTGTTCCTCGCAGGCACGAGGCGCGGGCCTCGCAACGGGCATGCGCGCCTTCCGGCTTCGGACTAGTGCAGCTCCGGGCGGATCATGCCTCGCCGTGCGTCAAGGAAGAGAGTTGCGATCCTATGCCCGCTGGCTTCCGCGGGGATTCCGAAGAGACGCGCCCAGGGGGAGGGCGGATGAAGCGCTTTGCAAGGCGCGATCTTAAAAATCTGGGCAGCCTGGAGTCGGAAGGAAACCCCGAATGGCTCCGTGGGGACGCGCTCTCCCGTGTCGCCAAGATCGCGGCCTGAAGTGGGGCCGAGTGCCAAGGAAACGCGCAGAAAAGGGCCGGCCGTGTGGAATGCAAGGAGACGCGTTTAGGATCGGGCGGTGAACAGCAGAAGCCCCGCTGGGCACGAGAAAGCTGACTCCGGTTTGCTGGTTCGTGGGGTGGGAGAGGTCAAATTGGAGCAGACCCATTTGCAGGTAGCAACATCCCCGCCACCCCAGTGGAAAATAAAAACAAGGATTGTGCTATTATTCTGTCTACCACTCACCATTAAAGTGACATTTAATTGTATATAAACCACTTGCTTAAAACACTCTCCCCAGTGTATTTTCCCAAGCTCTTAAGACCTTCGCACTTCTGGGTGGAGGGCCAAACGCACCAAGGTCCTTTTTCTCAAGGAAGGCTCACCAGGAAGCATTGTGGGACCCCCCCCCCCAGTTAATTTCTGGAATACATTCACGCCTTGGTTAATACCCTGTGGATGAAGAGCTTGCTTCAGATCCACTGGGGGAGGGCTCCTTCATTACTGGTCCTCCTTTCTGTATGGTCCAAAGTCCATCTGAAAGTGTTATAATCCACACCCTATAATAATAATACACACCCAATCTGTAAAGGCGAGGGTCCTGCGCCTGGAGCGTCCGTCTAAAGGCCTTGCTATACGTATATCCATTTTCTTACTGCAACCCTGCCTCCCCTACCCAAACAATTAAGATTTAGGGGTCATGCTCTCGATGCATTAACGGGAGCCGTGGTATGTAAAGCAAGAATGCTAATCGGATCCATAAATGATTCCGTGTAGACAAAACAAAAACATCTGAAATGTCTCTGCGCGTATAAACCGCGTTGACGCGCTTCTGCCCAGTTTGCCAGATGGCGGTCTGATTCGGAAGCCGAATCTGTTTCGAAGCAACAACTTGCTGTCAGCAGGCGGGTGGGGGTGGGGGGTGGGGTTCAAATTCAGCAGAAGGACACGTGGAATTAGAAGTGATCGCGGGCACTATAGCTTGGTGGGAACTCAATCTACGCTCTTTGGAAGTGTAGAGTGACGACTGCGCTCTCTGGGCCAAGAGCCCAACTGAGGGTGCTAGAGACAGCAGCACGAATAGGTGGCTTCAGCAAGCAGGTCTCCTCCGCACCACCCATACCCATCCCAGTTCCCGCCAGCCAGCCCTGTGCCAACGTGCGCTTAACCTTTATGCGCAAAAGAGGGAAATCTGCCTTGCGGACCCTTTCCGTTCATTCATATATTTGGGCGGGTGGATTGGAATCCGGATCTCAGTGACCACTTTATTCTAGCAGCCCCGAAAAGCAGCTTAAAAGTCCGCCACAAGATGCGGGTATCTTTATGGTAGAATTGCAAATAATCAGTAGCGGGTGATTCTAGAAATGCCAATGCAATCGCCCACGGTTGGCTATTTCCTCCTCTAACTGGCACGTCATTTGAAATCACCTCGAAATCCAGTTGGGGACTTACCTGCAGGGAAAGGGGTTTGGAGCAGAGGCGCCAACTGCCTCCTGTGTTGGGTACGGACTGCAGCCTAACGCACGCCTCCCCCCCCCCCCCATCCTTCTTACTCTCGAAGCAGCTGGCAATTTGGGAAGGCGAAATTAATTAGAACGTCAGCAAGCCCCCCGAGATGACTTTCCTCTCCGTCAAAATCGGAGAAGCGACGAAACGTGGCTTCCCTCGACCCCCCTTTTTTTTGAAATGTTAGAAGAGCCGCTTTCTTTTGCGGCGCTGGAGACCCGAGGAAAGGCGCGTTGGAAGGCGCGCACGGATTTCTAGCTCTAACCAGGGACACGTTTCTAGTCGGAAAGCGGCTATGGGGGAGATATCTCCACCTCCGTTATTGCTGCTTGTTTGCTGGGGTGCTTGTGCGTTAAACTGCTGGATGTTACAATTAGAAACAAGCGGGGGATTGCAGGTACGCGCCAGTCAAAGTTGAGACTACTCGCATTCATTCTTATTGGGTGGGCTGCAAAACGTCTGTTTTCCCCTCTTGCATGTAGGTGCCAAGGAGGCAGTGTGCTCTCTCGGGTCTCGGTCTCACCCTGACCCAAAGAGTCCATTACTTAGAATTAAGTCCCATTGATATCGGTGGGATTTACTTTCAGAATAATGCGCCTGCGATAAGAGTCTTGCGCACGCCGTTCAGGATCCGCGAAGGCGAATCCTCGGTTATGTGCAGTATTTCCTCCTGAGTAGCTGTGTTAAGAAATAAAATTACAATTGCGAGAAAAATGGCAAAGCGCAAAATATTATATCTATTATCTAATTTTTAAATATAGTATTTCCACCTTTTGCTTTTCCTCCGAATATACAATGTTGCTTTCCATACAAAACAATAATAAAAAGAGGGACGGCTGAAGGGCGGGGGAAAGAGCGGCTCGTTTTCCAATAAGTGATTAATGAATAGCGCATTACCATTTCAAAAGGGGAGCCCTTGCTTTTGGGTCGATTTGCATAATTTTTGTATGGCTTCAAAAAAAGCAACACCACATTGCTGTCATGCATTTCCAAGAGCGAAACATAATACAGTCTGTGTGACAAAGAGATCCCTCCTAATTTGACACCGCCAAGGAACTATCCGGAGCGTTTAGCTAGAAATGGGACGTTTTGTACGTTTTTGAAGGCTCGCCCGCCTTTTCTCCTGGAGTTTGGTCTGCGTATGCCATGAAATGAGAACTCCTGGATCCCTGTCTCCAGCTCTCCGCGCTTTGGGGGGGATCGCCTGCTCCTGAATGGCTGACTCCCCCCCCCCCCGGGACTCTCCGAGGTTTCCATTTCCCACTGCCCAACTACTACCCCCCCCCGCCTTTTCTCATTTCTTTTCAAAATCGCGCACCCCGCATTGTTACGCAGCAGGGCTGTCTTACGCGCGCTTATTACTGATAATAAATGAGCAATATGAAAACGCCTGCGTCGACGCTTCGCCATTTCTAGGCGGATTCTTGTTGTTGTCTGAATGCTTATTTATTAACGGAGTCTCCTTGGCCCTAAGTGCAAATCTCATCTGATTTCGCTGAATAACAACTTTTCTCTCAAGGTGCGGTTAACTAGCGGCGAAGAAAGAGCAATCCATTATTTCTCGATAAAGGTCTATAGTGGAAGTTGGGGGGTGTGTGTGTGTGTGTGTGTGAAGGGGTGTCATTTTCGGCTCTCCCACCCCCAGCCCATTCCCTGTGACTGAAACTTTATAGCCACCGAAGGTGCATGGACAGGATCCTACCCAGGATAAAGGCTTTTCAAATCCTCTTGATTTCGGGAAGGGGACTTATTTAAACTCTCTGCCACTGGGATCAATGGGATTTAACGATGCAAGCTCAGACGTGCTTAACGGGAAGACAGTCTCAGGGAAATCGATGCGACTTGCTTCTGAGCGGCTGCGGCTTAGAGTCCAGACTCCGAAAGTACTTGCGGTTGGGGGATCGGTCTGCCTGCTCTTTGAACTGGTGGTTCCACCCAGCAAAGGAACCCTCTGTCACATCCGATCCTCAACCCAGTTTGTGCGAAGTATAAGGGGGGTTTTTCGCTCCTTGGCACCAGGGCGCGCTGGTATCAGGGCGGCGGTTGCCAACGTGGCGCCCTTCAGTTGCTGTTGGACTCTAACTCCCAGTCATCCCAATGATCAGGCAGGTTGAGAGTTAATGGGAATTAATGAGAGTGAATCAGCATCTGGACTGCACCGCGTTAGCTGCCCCAGCAACAAACTACATTTCAAAGCGTCTTCATCGTGCAGTCCTGCCTTAAACGCACTTATTGAGGAAAAGCGAATGTTACTTTTGAGCAAACGTAATCTTAGGCACACTTACCTGTGAGTAAAGTTCACTGAGCACAGTACAGATTAACTCCGGGGAAGCACGTGCAGAGGTCAGTCTACACGTATGGAATCCGCATTTACGCGCAGGTAAAGCCCCATCGAATTGAGAGGACCTGACACTACAAACGATGGTGCACTGCATAACACACTTACCTGGAAGCCTTTTCCCTGAAAGGCAATTGCACTGACAAAAGATTTAGGTTTGGCCTATAATATAATCAGTGTAGCGGCTGGGTGAAAAGAGGTGTCAGTCGGGACAGAGGGCAAGATTCATTCGAGTAAAGGTTTAAAGGCCTGATCTTGGAGGTATTCAAGATGGAAGAGCACAAAAGGATCAAGTATATGTTCATAGCATTTAATCGAATTTATTTAAAATGCCTTACAATAATGGAACAGGTGCTCCTGAGAATGTGGTCTGACATATAAGGGGAGGAGGGCAAATGCTTCTTTGCGGGGTCTGTGTGGAGTCCTTGGATGCAACACGAATTGCATTCACTAAGCACTCAAAG